AGAGGCACGGGTCACACATGGGCACAGGGACAGGCACGGGTCACACATGGGCATGGGGACAGGCACGGGTCACAGCTGGGCATGGGAACAGGCATGGGTCACACATGGGCACAGGGACAGGCATGGGTCACACATGGGCACGGGGACAGGAACAGGTCCCAGCTGGACATGGGGGCAGGCACGGGTCACACATGGGCACGGGCACAGGCACGGGTCACACATGGGCACAGGGACAGGCACGGGTCACACATGGGCATGGGGACAGGCACGGGTCACACATGGGCACGGGGACAGGAACAGGTCCCAGCTGGACATGGGGACAGGCACGGGTCACACCCGGGCATGGGGACAGGCACAGGTCACAATGGCAGACCCCTGTTCCCTGGCAGCTCCTGCACACCTGGCAGTCCCTCCTGCACACCTGGCAGTCCTTCCTGCACACCTGGCAGTCCTTCCTGCACACACACACACACACACACACCTGGCAGTCCCTCCTGCACACCTGGCAGTCCCTCCTGCACACACACACACACACCTGGCAGTCCCTCCTGCACACACAGCTCCCCACACTCCACGCCGCAGTGTCTGAGCTGCACACACATCCCCACACACCCTCATTCCACGGCAGGCCCCTGCTCCTGCCCCTTCTCCTGCCCCTGCTCCTGCCCCTGCTGCTGCCCCTGCAATTCCAGCCCAGCCTGCATGCAGGAGGAGCCAGACTGCCTCGGGTAACGCGCTCACCCAAGGAATCATTTCCCAGGCTCCCTTTGAAGATCACAAGGCTCCAAACACACTCCCAAAAGCCCAAACCGCTGGTTTTAGGTGGGGACACATCACAGGGAGCTCCCACACCCACACCTGAGAGCCTGTGGGCTCCAGGGCAGGGAGGGGGCTCTGGGGCAGGGATGGGGTTCCAGAGCAAGGAGGGGGCTCCCAGAGCAGGGATGGGGTCCCCAGAGCAGGGAGGGGTTCCCAGAGCAGGGATGGGGTCCTCAGAGCAGGGAGGGGTCCCCAGAGCAGGGAGGGGTCCCCAGAGCAGGGATGGGGCTCCCAGAGCAGGGATGGGCTCCCAGAGCAGGGAGGGGTCCCCAGAGCAGGGATGGGGTCCCCAGAGCAGGGAGGGGGCTCCCAGAGCAGGGAGGGGGTTCCAGAGCAGGGAGGGGGCTCCCAGAGCAGGGAGGGGGTTCCAGAGCAGGGAGGGGTCCCCAGAGCAGGGATGGGGTCCTCAGAGCAAGGAGGGGGCTCCCAGAGCAGGGAGGGGTCCCCAGAGCAGGGATGGGGTCCTCAGAGCAAGGAGGGGGCTCCCAGAGCAGGGAGGGGTCCCCAGAGCAAGGAGGGGCTCCCAGAGCAGGGATGGGGTCCTCAGAGCAGGGAGGGGTCCCCAGAGCAGGGATGGGTTCCCAGAGCAGGGATGGGGCTCCCAGAGCAGGGAGGGGGCTCCCAGAGCAGGGATGGGTCCCCAGAGCCCTGGGCAGGCTGCTGAGCCCCGCTGCTGTGCAGGTGGTGCGGCGCTGCCTGGAGCTGGGAGCAGCCTCCGCGCGCTTCGTCAGCGGCTCCATGGAGGACACGGCCTTCGCCCAGCACGTGGTGAGGGAGGCACAGACAGCACTGGGTACGTCTGAGCCTGCTCTGCACACTGCCAGCATCCAGGCCGTGCTGTTTGCCACGTGCAAAAAGGGAGAGACAGGAAAAACCTCCCCTCACTCTGCCCTTCGCGGCCCCGCTCCTCTGCCCGCACTGCTGCCTCTCAAACTGAACTGCGCTCTGGGTTTCAGCTCTGTGGCCTCCTGGCATCCTGGTGCAGTGCCACAGCCCTGGGTTTCATCAGCCCAGTGCCAGAGTCCAGGGCATCCACAGCCCTGGCCACTGCAGCCAAGGGTCACGGCTCAGAAATGCAGCAGCTCCGTGGGGAGCTCCCCTCTCCCTCTGCCTCCCCAGCCCCCAGACAGCTCAGAGATGATCTCCCTTGGGACATGGCATTTGTGTTTTGAACTAAAACAACATATCACAACAAAATAGTTACTGGCAGCCACCATCCAGGCTGTATCCCTGCTCCGGAGATAACAGCTCTGACCCAAAAACCTGATTTCCTTGGATTGCTCTTATTCTGCTCCCAGAAAATGATGTTTTGCTGCTTGCAGCCCTTTCCCCCCAGCACTGATGCCCATTTTCCTGCCTGCAGGAGGCCTTGACATGCTGATTCTGAACCATGTTGGTGCATCCTACTTTGGCTTCTTTGATGGGGACGTTGAGCACGTCCGGAAGCTCCTGGAAATCAACTTCCTCAGCTACGTGGCCATGGCCACGTCAGCCCTGCCCATGCTGAAGGAGAGCGAGGGCAGCATCGTGGTGGTTTCATCCATGGCAGGTGAGTGGGCAGTGCCACCAGGCTGGCGACATGGGCCAGGAGCAGCACACAGAGACACCAGGCACAAAACCCACCAAAACCAGCCCCAACACCCAAATCCAGATGGGTCTGGGGTTCTCTTGATGGAATTTGTTTTCTGCTCAATCCAATCGCCCCCGTTTGGTTTTTGGCCAGCTCTGCAGTTAAACCCCACAGTGCTGTGTTGGTCAGTGCTCTGGTGAGCACCTCAGGCCAGGGACAAGAGTTTCAGCTTTGCTCCATCTCTCCCCTCTGAGGGTTTTGTGGTTCCTGTGGGCTGCCCATGCCCTGAGCAGAGATGTGAGCCACAGCTTTGGCCTTAAGAGCTGGAAGCCAGCAAGAATATCTGTAAGGCTGCTGTTCAGGTGCCAGGATGACACTTCCCTGGTAAAATCCTGTCTCTGAGGGAGTGCAGAAGAGCAGGTCAGGCAGAGCAGCCTCATGTGCTAACACAGAACTTCACTCTGTGCCCAGGTAAAGTCGGGTTCCCCTTTACCGTCCCCTACTCTGCGACTAAGTTTGCCCTGGATGGATTTTTCAGCTCCCTGAGGCAGGAGTTCACCATTCAGAGCATAAATGTTTCCATCACGCTCTGCATCCTCGGCTTCATCGACACAGGTGAGAGCAGAGCTGGGCCAGCCCTGCTCAGGGCTCAGCATCCCCACCCTGGCTCCTTCCCCTGCCATCTCTGCCCCACCCCAGCCTGTCACCCCTGCTGCAGGGGGATCCCACCTGCCTGCCCCCAAAAAACAGCCTCAAAAGCCATTTACTGCCCTGTGCCACGTAAATCTGGGCACTGCTTACAGCTGGCACAGCCCAACAGCCCCTCGGGTGCCCACTGGCCCCCCATCCCCAGGGATCCCCACTGGCCGCACATCTTCCAGAGATCCCCACTGTCTCTGCATCCCCCAGGGTCCCCACTCTCTCTGCATCCCCGGGGGTCCCCACTCTCTCTGCATCCCCCGAGGGTCCCCACTCTCTCTGCATCCCCCGGGGGTCCCCGCTCTCCCCCATGCCCCGGTGCCCCCTCTCTCCCCCATCCCGGGGGTGCCGGGCGCTGACGCGGGGGCGCGCAGATCGCGCCGTGCGCGCGGCCGCGGAGGTGCTGCAGGAGCGGCCGGCGCCGCGGGACGAGTGCGCGCTGGAGATCCTCAAGGGCGCAGCGCTGCGCCGGAGGGAGCTCTACTACCGCTACAGCTCCACGCGGCTGCCGCTGCTGCTGCGGGACTGCGCCGCCGAGCTGCTCGATTACCTGGTGCGGAGCCGCTACCGCCTGCCCGCCGCGCCCCGCCCGCCCCACTGAGCCCCGGCCCGGGAACCCCGGCAGGGTCCCTACCCCGGGACGGCCCCGGCCCGGCGGAGTCCCGACCCCCGGAGGGTCCCCGTCACCGGGAGGGTCCTGAACCCCGGGAGGATCCCTACCCCAGGAGGGTTCCCTGTCACCGGGAGGGTCTCTGGTCACCGGGACGGTCCCGGCCCCGGGAGGGTCCCCTGGTCACCGGGAGGGTCCCCTGGTCACCGGGAGGGTCCCGGCCAGCCCCGTTCCTCCGTTCCTGGCCGCCACCGCCCCGCCCCGGTTCGCGATGCGCTGGCGGCGCCCGCCGGGACAGAGCGGGACCCGCATTGGCGGCTCCGTGTCCTGCGGGCCCCGCCCGGCCGCGCAACGCTAATTACTGAGCTAATTATTAAATAAAGTGTATTGACCGGACAGCTCTGCGTGTGCTGGCGGGGCTTTATGGCCTTTCTCAGCTGTTCATGGGCACGGCTCCACTGGGCACTGCCAGGGATCCAGGGGCAGCCACGGCTGCTCTGGGCACCCTGTGCCAGGGCCTGCCCACCCTCACAGGGAACAATTTCTTCCTAATTTCTCCTTACCCACACAAACCAGCACACACAGAGTGGGTTCTGCCCTTTAAACTTCCAGAAAATCACCCTCAAACCCATTTGCCACCCGCCAGCAGACGCTGAGCAGAACCACAGCCCTGGGAAAGCTGAAGGTGTTTCCCATTCATCCACTTGGCTCTTTTGCTGCCTTTTGCAGCCCGTGGATTCCTCCACAGGGATATATTTTAGGGGTAAGAGCCACCCAGCAAACTGCCAACGTTACCCCCATGGTGACATCCCAGAGGATAACCCAGAATCAGCAGCAGTGGCTGGAAAATGGAACCTTTGCCAGCCCTGCTCCCCCCAGATCTGGCCGTGAGCGCGTACAGGAGCGCTGCTCAGTAAATCCTCGTGCAGCCAGAGAGGAAGGGAAGGGGTGCTCCTGGTGCAGTGGTGCAGAGAGGGACGTCCACTGGTCCCAGGGATGTCTGCTCTGAGGGGACGCTGCTGTCCCAGCCACCACTGCTCAGTGCCTTCCCTTCTGCTCTCTCCAAGAGCACACCGGGCACTCCTGGCAGGCCAAGGGTGCAAAGGGACAGCCTAAAGTCCAAAGCCACACGCTTCATTAGGTTAATGTTTGCTGAATCACCAGCAGGGCAAAGAAAAGGTCCATCAGCAAACTTGTGTGAGATAAGAGCCAGCTCAAAACGTCCCAGCCCCATCTGCCAGCTCCAGCCACCTTCACCTCCCCGCGGGGCTCGTCTCGCTCCTGCCTCTCCTATGCAGAGGGATGGGGCTGCTGCTGAAGATTCTCATCCCTTTGCTGGGAGCAGCACTGGCCTTTTATTTTTACTCAGCACCCGAGAACTTCAGCGAAGGTAAGTCCTGGGAGAAGCAGGCTCCAAAAGCGCCACCAGAGGGGCGGCGTGTGCCGAGCACAGGGACCTGGACAGGGCTGGCACTGACAGGGAGGGCTGGAGGGAAGGTCAGAACGCCCCAGGGAAGGGGTCAGAGCTAGGGGAAGCTCACGGAGCTACACCGGCTCTGCTGGGACACAGTGTCTGACCCCTGTGAATGACTTATTTGGGAAACAAGCAGTTTTCCCACTTTAAATATTCAATCCTTTCATTGGCCAGCTCTCTCTGCTCCCTGGGCAGGAGTGCAGAGCTCAGGCCTCCCCACCCCGCTGGGACTGGGGTCAGACTGCAGCGGGGTCTGACGAGGCTGGCAGGGACAGGGAGGAGCTGCAGGGACAGGGGGGAGCCGCAGGGACACAGGGGAGCTGCAGGGACACAGGGGAGCTGCAGGGACAGGGAGGAGCCGCAGGGACAGGGAGGTACCCACGAGCAGAGGGGCAGCCAGGGCTGTGCCAGGGCTGAGCTCTGGACCCTCCTTGGCAGAGATGCTGCGGGGCAAGCGGGTGATCGTGACGGGAGCCAGCAGCGGCATCGGGGAGCAGATGGCGTATCACCTGGCACGGATGGAGGCACACCTGCTGCTCACGGCACGGACAGAGGCCAAGCTGCAGAAAGTAAATGGGCAGGGGGGTGTGCTGGGCTGGATGTGATATTCACCCCAGCCTGGGCACACGGGCACACCTGGTACCTGCACATCCACCCCTGGGCTCCCCCAGTGCCACCCTGGGCACACCTGGTACCTGCACATTCTCCCCTGGGTTCCCCCAGCACCACCCTGGGCACACCTGGTACCTGCACATCCTCCCCTGGGCTCCCCCAGTGCCACCCTGGGCACACCTGGTACCTGCACATCCTCCCCTGGGCTCCCCCAGTGCCACCCTGGGCACACCTGGTACCTGCACATCCTCCCCAGGGCTCCCCCAGTGCCACCCTGGGCACACCTGGTACCTGCACATTCACCCCAGGGCTCCCCCAGTGCTATGGGCACACCTGGTACCTGCACATCCTCCCCTGGGCTCCCCCAGTGCTATGGGCACACCTGGTACCTGCACATCCACCCCAGGGCTCCCCCAGTACCACCCTGGGCACACCTGGTACCTGCACATCCACCCCTGGGCTCCCCCAGTGCTATGGGCACACCTGGTACCTGCACATCCACCCCTGGGCTCCCCCAGTGCCACCCTGGGCACACCTGGTACCTGCACATCCACCCCTGGGCTCCCCCAGTGCTATGGGCACACCTGGTACCTGCACATCCACCCCAGGGCTCCCCCAGCACCAGCCCTGCCTGGCCCAGGACAGGAGCAGCCTGGGCTGGTGCTTCCCTGCAGGGGAGTCCATTGGAGCCCGTTCTCTGCAGGTTGTGGAGCGGTGCCTGGAGCTCGGTGCTGCCTCCGCCCGCTACATCAGCGGCTCCATGGCCAGCCCCAGCCTGCCCGAGGAGGTGCTCAGGGAGGCTGAGAACACCTGGGGTAGGTGCTCCCTGCTCAGCCCCGTGCAGCCCAGCCCCCAGGAGGCGCTGCCTCTGTGGCTGGTGGCACAGCTGCTCCGCCCGCAGGTGGCCTGGACATGCTCATCCTGAACCACATCGGCCAGAGCGGCTTCACCTACTTCAGCGGGGACGTGGGGCACGTGCGCAGCCTCCTGGAGACCAACTTTGTGAGCTACGTGGCCCTGGCCACGGCTGCCCTGCCCCTGCTGAAGGAGAGCGAGGGCAGCATCGTGGTGGTCTCGTCCATAGCGGGTGAGCTCCTGCCCACAGCCCCTCCTCTGCCTGCCACGATCCCTGTGGAGGCTCCGCTCCAAAAGGCAGAGCAGGGACCACAAGCAGGGCTGGCACTCAGGGTCAGCACATTGTTAACTCTGCACAACTCAAATCCTCTGGGAAATTTATCCTCTGTCCTGTCGGGCTCTTGGCACCCTCTGATCACCTTCCCACGCTGCAGTGCAGGTGATTCCACAGCCATGGCCGCACACTGAACACACATTTGCAATATGTGGGCATCTCTGCAGGGATACAGAAGCTGCTCTGGAAGGCCCTTTGTGCCATACGTCACATTTTGAACATTCCTGAGTGTGCTTTATCTCCCAGGCATTCATGACAGTTTATTCCAACACCCTAAATCCCGGCACTGGAGCTACTGGCAGGGCAAGAGGAAGGGAGAGCTGTGCAGCCTGGTGCCTGCCCAGCAGCCAAACCCCAGCCCTGTCTCTGCTCCAGGTAAAATTGCTGGCCCTTTTACTGCCTCCTATTCCGCAACCAAGTTCGCCCTAGATGGATTTTTCAGCTCCTTGAGGCAGGAGCTCATCATAGACAAGGTCAACGTTTCCATCACGCTCTGCATCCTGGGCTACATCAACACAGGTAAGCTCAGCCCTGCCAGGATCCCATTCCAGCTGAGCCCAGCTCCTGTCTCTGGTGCCAGCCTCCCCTCCCTCTGCAGCTGTGGAAACAGGACCCCAACCCTTCAAAAAGTGTGCGCTGAGGCCTTGGACTCTGCCAGGCTCCGTGAACTCAGGGGAGGTCCTGTGGCCTCTCAAGAGCTGGAAAGCAAAGGGAAGGGAAGGACATTTATAATTGTTATTTTCACTGTTCTAAGCCTTGTTAAGCAGGTCTGATCCCAGAGTCTGTGGGTTCGGGTCTGTGGGTTTGGGTCCATGGGTTTGGGGTGCCCCAGACGCCCCAACGCCGATGGTGCTGAGTGCCCCTGACCCGTCCCTGTCCCGTGCCAGAGAGCGCCGTGCGGGCCGTGTCCCGCGTCATCCCGGACAGCCCGGCCCCCAAGGAGGAGTGTGCCCTGGAGATCATCCGGGCCGGAGCCCTGCGCCGCCGGGAGCTGCACTACCCCGGCCCGGCCATCGGCAGCACGCTGCTCCTGCACAGCCTCGCCCCCGAGCTCCTGGAATCGCTGCTGCGCCGCAGCTACCGCCTGGAGAACGTCCAGAGAACGTAGTGCTGGGACACCTGGGCCGTGCTGGGACACCTGGGGCTCTGCTGGGACACCTGGGACACCTGGGCCGTGCTGGGACACCTGGGGCCGTGCTGGGACACCTGGGACACCTGGGCCGTGCTGGGACCCCTAGGGCTGTGCTGGGACACCTGGGCTGTGCTGGGACACCTGGGACACCTGGGCCGTGCTGGGACACCTGGCACACCTGGGCCGTGCTGGGACACCTGGGGCTGTGCTGGGACACCTGGGCTGTGCTGGGACACCTGGGGCACCTGGGCCGTGCTGGGACACCTGGGCTGTGCTGGGACACCTGGGGCCGTGCTGGGACACCTGGGGCTCTGCTGGGACACCTGGGGCTGTGCTGGGACACCTGGGACACCTGGGGCCGTGCTGGGACACCTGGGGCTCTGCTGGGACACCTGGGGCTGTCCTGACACACCTGGGCTGTCCTGACACACCTGGGCCGTGCTGGGACACCTGGGACACCTGGGCCGTGCTGGGACACCTGGGGCTGTGCTGGGACACCTGGGCCGTGCTGGGACACCTGGGGCTGTGCTGGGACACCTGGGGCCATGCTGGGACACCTGGGACACCTGGGCTGTGCTGGGACACCTGGGCCGTGCTGGGACACCTGGGCCGTGCTGGGACACCTGGGGCTCTGCTGGGACACCTGGGGCTGTGCTGGGACACCTGGGACACCTGGGCTGTGCTGGGACACCTGGGGCTGTGCTGGGACACCTGGGGCACCTGTGCCGTGCTGGGACACCTGGGGCTGTGCTGGGACACCTGGGACACCTGGGGCTCTGCTGGGACACCTGGGCTGTGCTGGGACACCTGGGGCTGTGCTGGGACACCTGGGACACCTGGGGCTCTGCTGGGACACCTGGGGCCGTGCTGGGACACCTGGGCTGTGCTGGGACACCTGGGCTGTCCTGACACACCTGGGGCTGTCCTGACACACCTGGGCCGTGCTGACACACCTGGAGCCAATCAGGACCGTCCTGGCTCTGAACCCAGCTGCTCAGGACAGGTCTGGTTCTGAACCCAGCTGCTCAGGACGGGCCTGGCTCTGAACCCAGCTGCTCAGGACAGGTCTGGCTCTGAACCCAGCTGCTCAGGACAGGCCTGGTTCTGAACCCAGCTGCTCAGGACGGGTCTGGTTCTGAACCCAGCTGCTCAGGATGGGTCTGGCTCTGAACCCAGCTGTTCAGGACAGGTCTGGCTCTGAACCCAGCTGCTCAGGATGGGTCTGGCTCTGAACCCAGCTGCTCAGGACGGGTCTGGCTCTGAACCCAGCTGCTCAGGACTGGTCTGGTTCTGAACCCAGCTGCTCAGGACGGGTCTGGCTCTGAACCCAGCTGCTCGGTGCCCTCTCCACAGCCTGGGGCATCCCTGTGCTGACGCCCTGGCAGCCTGGGGCAGGACACTGCAGGACTCTGTAAGGCAGCACAAAAATGTCCTTTTTAGCAATGGGCTCTTGTCAATGGCTTTTGCAGCCAGGGAGCGGCTCAGAGAAGGGCTGCAGCAGAATCTGCTGCCAGTGCCCTGCCCAGCAGCAGGTTCCTGCTCAACCTGCAGACACTGCTCCCTCTGGAGAGCCACCGAGGCAGCTGAGCTGAGCCCTGGCCCAGGACCAGGCTTTGGGCCAGGCAGCACAAACCACCCAAAGCCACGAGAGAGTCTCTGAATCTGGAGATTTCTGTCACACATCCCTTCCATGCCGGTCTTTGTAAAAATAAATCCAGTGTTCTTTGAGATCTCTGCTGTTCTGGGTGTTCCTCCTCCACGTGCACAGCCCTTATCAGGGCAGGGCGCCCTTATCAGTGCCCAGCTGGCTAAACCGACCTCCTCCCGATTTGCATTAACCAAGCTTCCACTTCTCTAAAGACCTTAATGAATTTCTGCCATTCCTGACCTCTCCCCAGCTGCCAAAACACACTTTTTTGTCCTCTTTCCAACCTGCAGGAGGCCTTACAATAATAGCATTACTGTACTTCCCCAAAGCCGCTCAGGGAAACTCCGTCCCCGAGTGCCGCCGCCGGCAGCTCCAGCTCGCCCTGAGTGTCACAGAGCAGCACGGGGAGATGCCCCAGGAGATAACGGAGCCGCAGGCTCTGCTTGGGGCCGGGCTGGACCCTCGGGGCTCCTGAGATAAGCCCGACCCCGCTGAGCCAGGCTGCGGGCACAGACAGGAACCGGGGCTCGGCCGCAGCTGCAGCGTTTCCTGTTGCACAGAGAGAGCAGGAGAGCACAGCATGAGCTGCTGGGCATGAGGAGGGCAGCTGGGGCGTGCTCCTGCCCTGTGGCACCCGGCTGGGCACGGCACCCGAGGGGCAGCACGGGAGCCTGGCACCAGGTAAGTGTGCAGCACCCACAGCGCCCGGCTCCAGGGCAGCACCAGGCACCTTTTCCCCCTTTTTTCACCCCAATTTCAGCCGACACAACCTGCACTGGGGAACTGTGACGTGAACCAGCAAGAAGCAGAGGGGTTTTCCTGGTTTCCCTTGAAGCAAGAGGTGTAACAGCTTGGAAAGCAAAGATAGAGGACAGGTTTAATTACAGAGGGTAATTTGGGGTAACAGAAGGAGGAAATAGAGCATTAGCTTGTCAAAAAAGCCTCCAGGGTTTGCTCAGCCCGGGGTGAGTAATGGGCTGTGTTTCATTAAGCTTTATGCTGCTTTTCAGTGCATTTTTGGTGAGCTGAGGCTTTTACAGCCCTGGGACGGGCTGGGCAAGCCAGAGGCAGCAGACGTGGGAGAGGACTGAGCTTTTCCTGGTGGGAAGAGATGGATGAGTGGAGGCTGAACAGAACACACAAAAATGGAGCAAAATGAGTTGAAAAATTATCAGCTTTTGATGCAGTGTCCTGGCTGGGGCTTGTGGGCATCTTCCCCACCCAGGGACCACCCCAAAAATGCTGCTTGCCTTCAAAGGAGGCCCCTAGAGTAAAAGAAAGCACCAGGAATGAGCTCTGAGCACCCCACAGCTACCACCAGGACAGTGTAAAGAATTACAGAGCAGATTTTATACAAACTAAACAGCATGGAAGTACCCTGGACGTAACTGGCGCTCCAGAAGCACTGCCTGACACCCCACACCCACAAACCCTAGAAGTGGCAGATTTCCACTGATCCCCCGCGTTCTGGGCCGGTTTCACAGGGCAGAGCCCCCGAGGGCACAGGGCCAGCATGCCCAGGAGGGCGGAGAGCTACGAGGAGAGGAGCGAGCGGCGGCAGGAGGCGCGGGAGCGGCGGCGGGGCAGGCTCAATGTCACCCGCTGCAGGGCCAGCGTCACCCCCGGCCGGGGGACACCGGCGCCAGCCGCCAGCCCCCGGCAGGCCGAGTTCCTCCGCAGGAGAAACCTGGTGGCCGAGGCTGGGGACAGCCCGCCGGGACAGCGACGGGCGCCCTCGCCGAAGGAGGACGCCCACAGCCCCGCAGGGACATCGGCCCCAGCCTGGCCCTTGGCCTCCACGGGGACGCAGACCCTGGGCAGCCGCAGCTCGGCACTGAGGGACTCGAGCCAGCAGACGGAGTGAGCAGCTCTGCCCCTCCCCGGCTGTGCCCGGAGCGCTCCCCGCAAAGGCTGCACCGACACAGCGCAGCTGGGGACCCTCCCTGGCTCCTCAGTAACACTCTTTGTTTTCCATTTCAGCTGGGGAATAGCGGTTTTAAACAAGGTAAGCAAAGCACAGGTAATAGAACTCCTGAAAGGTAAACTGCTGGGGAAATATTTCCACTTCCCTGGGAAAACTAACCCAACGGACCCCAGCAGGCTCTCCTTCTCCACCCAAATATAGGCTGCTAATTCACTTTTATTGAAAGATATTTAGTTTTTTGTAGCAAGTTCGTGCCATGTTTATAAACTGAAACAATTCTATTTTTAAACATCTGCCCTTTCCCTTTCAGGAAATGGTGCAGCTCTCCAACTACCTGAAGGTAGGTACCAAACAGTGCCCAGCACCCACTGGGACAGCTGGATTTCATCAAGAATAATACTTATTAAAATTATTAATATTGCTACATGAAGGGGTGTTAAAAGCCCAATTTTAACATGGCCAAAAAAGCCAACAAAGACCTGGAGCCCCAGGCAGGGCCAGCCCTGGGCTGGGGGCTCTGGGCTGTGCCCCCAGCTCTGGCCCCACTGACCGTGTCCCTGTCCCACAGGAGGCCCTGCACCGTGAGCTGCTGCTCAAGCAGAAGATGGTGATTTTACAGGAGCTCCTGTCCACCCTGCTCCAGGCTTCAGAGAAATCCTGGCAGGTACCAGAGAGCTGCAGGACCCCCCGTCACCTCCCCTGGCTCCCCTGCCCCTCTGCGCAGGGAGGGTGGGACAAACAGCACAAAAGGCCCTTTTAACTTCTATGAGGATGCAAAATTAAGATGATACATTTTATGTAATAGATGAGGCTTTCTTATAGGATCCTTAAATCAAACAATTCATGCTGTTGTGGCATTTTAAAAAAAAAGTGATTTGAAAGTTCTGTTGGGGCAGAGAAGCGAGTGATTGGGTGAGGGGGGACAAAACCTTGTGTTAGACACATCCTGTGGTGAGAAACTTCCGCCTTTGCTCACTCCTCCAATATAACGTGAGCAGGAAAAAACACCCAGCCACAGGCGCAGGAAGTGGCCACGAAACCTCAGAACATCAACAGGTGGGTGCTCCTTGCTGCTCGCTGCCCCTGCTGCAGGACAGGGGAGACTTTGCTGCTGCCTCTTGCACACCGCTGTTCCTCAGCCTAAAATCAGCTTTTCATCAGCCTAAAATCAGCTTTTCATCGGCCTAAAAATGAGCTTTTCATTGGCCTAAAAGTCAGCTTTTCATCGGCCTAAAAATGAGCTTTTCATTGGCCTAAAATCAGCTTTTCATTGGCCTAAAATCAGCTTTTCAGCAGCCTGACAATCCCCTTGGTGCTGGAGCCAACAGGCAGATGCTGCTGCTGGGAAGGGATTCCATGAGGCAGGTGGGGCTGGCAAAGGGAGGGAGGGATGGAGGGATGATGGATGGATGGATGGATGGATGGATGGATGATGGATGGATGGATGGATGATGGATGGATGATGGATGGATGATGGATGGATGGATGGATGGATGGATGGATGGATGGATGGATGGATGGATGGATGGATAGATGATGGATGGATGAT